GCTGCAACTGGTGTTGATCTTGTCCAGTCCCCTACAGAGGACCTTCCCACTACGATAAATGGATCAGATAAAGAGAGAGTGATAATCACGGGGCGGTATTCTCTACCCTTAGTCTCAGCTGTTCCATCCAACCGGAGCCTCGGGACCAGAATTCCTTCTTCGACATCCGTGATGGTCTTTCTGTCTTTCAGTGTTCATCTGTCGATAGTTATACCGAGTTGTCTAGGAGTGAGGAAGAGAAGAAAACATCCTTACGTGCCAAGGCACAAGAGAACATCAAGTGCTAAGGCGCCTGGCTATTGAAGTTGTTAGAAGGATAGCCTCTACTTCGGTTAGGTCATTTTATACTAATCGAGCGGCGAAGATAGAAGAGAACAGAAAGGATCAACTCCAGGCTGAGAAGGAGTTCATTGATCGCATGAATCAGATGGATACCACCGCTACTGCTTCCAAGTAGGGATTCTCCTTATTAGTGTGGTATCAATGTGCCTTATCAACCGCCACCATTGGCTGCATTCATCTCCTTTCTGTCAGCCCATGGAGCGTCGTAGCCAATCACATAAACTTTTACAAGGATCCTGCCAGCAGTGTAGCTGCTACCACGAGCAATGGTAGTAATAAAACATCCAGTGAGAGGGCAGCTCATAAGGAGCGTGAGGGCCAGAAGGATGGTGGGAATCAGACTCGGATGAAGCAGCTATTGCAGGATCTGAGGAAGAATGGTTTAAATGTTAACCACCATACCACTGCCGGTGTTGGTGCATAAACTGATGGTTGCATCTGGTATTCGGGTGATGATATTATTTCTATGTGGATCAAGCCCTTGCTTTGTGTTGAAGAAGTCTAGCATGTCATAGGGAGGCCACGAATAGTTTCCTCTAGGATTATATGTCTACTGTAGTGGATGCGATGGCTTCCCATGATGATAGATTGACACTCCTTAAGCAGTAAGCGTGTGACATGATGGTTCGTAGGTGTCGAGTGGGTTTGGTCATCGTCCCACTACTAAGATCGTGTTCAGTAGTCGAACACAGATGGCGGGTGAGTGTTCCTTCAAGACAATCGTGACAGTTGAATGGTTATTAGTCACTTATTCATGTTAGGCTAGTAGAGCCAATAAGAAGTGTTAGATTCCCGTGGAAGGTCATCACTACCATCGCTAGTGTCGTCCCATTCGAGCCAGCATGTTATAGACGAAACGTATGTTGGTGTAGCGACCAGGAACACTTTTCTGGAATCCCCGCAAGACCCTCATTTTGCATTGCAAGAAGTGGTCAACCTTGCACAGTGAAGCTCTGATGCCGACAGACTGTTGTTCGCTGCTCCGATGTCAGCGTGTATCCACTTTTGTACCGATCCACTTTTACGGAATCTAGTTAACTCGGGAAGGAGTGGTACTTGAACCACTTTTACAAGTATGTGCCTCAAATTCTCCGAAATAGGGACGATTATAGTACAGAAGC